CTAACACTGCACCTCTCATTCTGTAACACATGCACAGTTTGTAGGAAAGGGATATTCACTCAGGCATAATGCCTTCTTTATGTGTGTAGAACAAGTGTGATTTGGCTTTGAAGAAAATACATATGAAACGGAAACAACTTGGAAGCAGGGAGAATTAGTTTTTTTTTTTTTTGATGATCTGCTTATCAAGACCATTGTTGTAGCACTGTAGCAGATTTGCCAACCAAATTATAGCAGATCAAACTTTTTATACACGTAGAATCTTCATAATGACCGCCTATTTCATATATAGTTAACAAAATGATATACAGTAAGTAACATTGAAGCAATGATATTCTGTATTAAAATGCAACCATTATGTTGAACAGGAGCAATTTTCAAGCAGATTGAAGTCACACTGTATAGTAAGGGACAATATACAGAAAATTGTATTTGCAAGCCAAATAAGGCTACGTTCACACTAGCCTTGTTAGCAAGTGGCAGACAGGCGTTTGGGAAGCGGTTTTACTGTTTCCCAAATGCCTGGGAAAATTCTGCACATTGCAGCACATGGTGCTGTCCAAACGGGAGCGTTAGCGTCATGTTGCGTCGCTTCGTGGCAAAACGGACACCTCTGGTCGAGTCAGGAGGAGTTGAAGCCTCCTATTCAAGTCTATGGTGCCGCTCCCCAAATGCCCGGCCGGCGTTTGCGACGCGGTTGCGGGGTGTTTGCGGAACGTTAACACCATTCAAACTTTATTATAGGCGTTTGTAGGGCGTTTTTAACGCTTGCTGTATATTGGCCAAGCCTAGCAACCACTGCTAAACCGCGCATGCGGCGTTTGCGGAGCATTAAAAACACTCCGCAAACGCTGGACCAACGCTTGTCAAACGCTATAGGGGCATTTGGCACGAGTTGGAAAAACAGTTAAGTGTGAACAAGCCCTAAAACATACATTACCAAAAAGGTATCAGATAAACATGTGACTAAAGGACTGTGGTTGATTTAGACTGTGCACATCAGCATTATAATAGCAATAGTTATCACTGACAATCCAATATAAGCTTACTTGAAAATTCTCCGTTCATGTTTTGGGTTCTACCTGCTTGCTGTCTCTTTCCACATCTTCCTGGATTCTCTGCATGCTTTGCAGCTTCTCCTCTGCTGTTTACTTTCCATTTCTAAGGACTACATATCCCATGGTACATTACTGTCTGCAAGCTGTGATTCCTGTACTGACTCCGCCTCCTGAAACTCCTCCCCTCCTCACCACTGCAGTTCAGAAGGCAGGCTCTGTGAAATGTGTGACACAGCAGTGCCTACCCACAGGACAGTGAAGATGTGTCACAGAATTTGAGGAAGTAAACATGTGAGGACCTTCACAAAGTAAGTTTACAAACTTCAACATCACACAAAGTAATAGGAGCAGGCTAGAAATAATAGAAGTTCAACATGGAACTCAATATATGAATATACATTTCACCATAGATATGCTTCAAAGTGGGACTCAAACCAAGGCATTTTGTTTGAACTGAATGTGACACTGCAAAATTTGTACTGCTGTCTATGCACCTTTTGGAGAAATCTATGATCAACTACGACAGTAGTTGGAAGTGAGAAGAAATCTTTGCAACAAGAACACAGACAGCAATAAGTACACCATACAGTAGATGCTATGTCCCTGTGATCACTGGGACAGGAGGTGAGGGTAAAGCTGGCCATATCGGCATATATTTCCTCTTATCACATAGAAGGATGAATTTTCCCCCACCTATTGTATTTTGACAGCCTCCACCTGTGGTTGTCAGAATACTCTAAAAGTGCCTGAATTTGGTAGGATTCTGGTGCTGTTCGGCCAACAATTTTGCATCTGGCTGCTTTGACCAAAGTTCTTTGAACAGTGGACCGATCCAGGGCCAGTAGGAGGCCCCATGAGAGGGTCTTGTTACCTCCTGCAGCAGGGGGAATCAGACAGTGGGGGGTGATCAGTGTGGTGGGGACCATTACAAGAATCAATCTCCCTGTACTGCTTTCCATGAGGCAGCTGAAAAATGCTTCTCTTCCTCTCCCTCCTGTGGCTTTCAGCTGCTTCATGGATAGCCATACGGGGATATTGGTGCTTGTAATTGCCCTCCTGCAGCATCAATCTTCTCCAACTGTCCATCAGATTCCCCATACTCTCTGCCCCCCCCCCCCGTGTGCCCCCTCGGCCCTCCACAGTGCTGCCTGCTTCCCCCTCTCCTGCCAGCTGCTGCGGGGGGATGTGTCGGGATGTAGAGAGGTGAAGGGGTCAGTAAAGATGTTATTTGCCTTCCTTTTCTGAATGAAAACAGTGATTATAGTGATCACTGACTCTGTTCATTTATAACTGAAGCATAGTAGACTATGTTTACTATGCTTCAGTTTATGAATGGACAGGAGCCTCTATCTCCTGTTCATTCATCTGCAGTGCAACTGAGGCTACAGAGGAAGGGACTGGGGAATGTGTCTCCAGTCCCTTTCTCTGTTTTAAAAGTGAGAATTCAGGGGTCTAATTAGACCCTTGGTACCTCATCAAAGCCCCCAGCGGGGCTGCTAAAACAATTGTAATAAATAATAAAAATTAACTTGTAAAAAATAATAAAAAATAAAATTGTTATAAAATGGAAGCCCTGTCAGTGGTGACAGTGTGCCACTGTTGGGCTTTGTTTAAGGTAAGTTTCTCATAATGTGCTAGTATGAGATGCATACATTGCCTTGCATGGGGGATTTTCTTTTCATAATTTACTACCACTTTAAAGTGAAACTAAAGATTGTATTGCCAAGTATGTTTACTGTATCTTATTTTATATATTTGTCATCCCACACTGGTCAATCAAGACAGCCAAAGAAAAGTCCAGCACCCAGAAGAAGCCAGGAGCCAGTGCTGGCAAGGGAACTTGCAGACATTGGAGGGAAGGTGGGTATTGCGTTGGTGCACATTGTGGTAACCTGCAGGTTAGTGCAAATAATTACGGGGAATGGCCCCAACACTTGTGATCGCCTGTCAGTTGGTGTGCTAGAGTGCTGTTCAGAATGAAAAAATGGTGCATGTACCAATTTTTGAAAGCATACCATACCGCAATGTATGTTAGAACAACGCTGCACGCTGTGCTGCACTGCGCGTCCGCTGGCAAATGTCTTTGGGTGCCATTCAAATAGATTGTCAAAGCTACAGCATTCATTAATTTTTGGTGGTGGACCACAATGCACGTATGGATATTAAGGCTCAGTTCACATCTATGCAAGTTGCACGGGTGCATGCATGATTTTGCGCATATTCACATGTAGCATTTAGGACAGCCTATTCATTGCAACAGGCTGCCCTACATGCAAACAAAATCACACAAAAAAAGCGCATGACCCTTTTTAAAATTGCACCCCATCGAAACGCACAATACTTTCAATTGTGCTTCAACAAGGTGCATTGGGGCTCCAATAAGAATGAATGGTGGCATGAAATGCCTGCAAATGGGATGAGACTTTTTTGTATATTGCAGGAACGCACACAATTTTGAATACCCGTGTGAATGTGAACCTAGCCCTATGTCGTGCATTGCGACAGTTGAACCACCACAAATCACATAATGGGAACTTTGAAGCAGACATTTAATATTGTTTTTACTGAGTTTACATATTAGCCTCCATCAGATGTATTTTCTGTAGTGTACAGTACACATAGTAACACAACTCGAACAGACCTTACTACTGAGAACAGTATGGGGAACCCTGCTGCACTCTATTGTCTTCTGCCATCAATCAGGCTTCTTCACGTAAACAACGCATCTGTCTACACTTAGCTTGTACTTTATATAACATGGAAATCATTAGCAAGTCGTGTTTTTTTTCTCTCCTTGCGAAGGGAATTTTGTGTTGAATGAAAAGCTCTGCGTCACCGAGGGCTCCTCTGCAGGGGGCTGGATCACTGTCCTGGGGGAATGAGGCTGGAGCAGAGTGAAGACACACCATTCTGCTGGAAGCAGTGAGGGGCAGCCTGCATGGTGACACAGGACAGACCTGGGAGAACCAGAACACAATCCAGAGAGTAGGAAAAGGAGGGCGGAGAGAGGGGAAAGTGAGGGAGAGAGAGGGATAAACAGGAAGTCAGGGGAAGAAATGGATAGAGAGAAATAGTGATGGAGTGAGAGTGGAAGAGATAAGAGGGAAAGGAGTGCGGGGCACAGAAAGTTACAGACAGGGATGAACACGGACAGAACAAAGAATGGGACATTTCCTCTGCTGATCTCTACCACCTCGCCTCATTATCTCCTGCAGATTACCTCAATCCATTCCTAGAGAGAAACCTGCATTCCCCTGGCTAACATCTGCATTGAGGATTTACAAGACAGCCCTTCATCATACAGCCTTCCCAACCTAGGAACCTGTAACACTGATCCGGGATCCACCATGTGTGTCCTGCACTGCACTGAAAGCTGAAGAGGTCCCAGCACCAATAAACCTGCTGAGCTGTCCCTTTAACCTGGCATTGTCCCTTTAACCTGGTATTGTCTCTTTAACTTGGCATTGCCCCTTTAACCTGGCGTTGTCCCTTTAACCTGGCATTGTCCCTTTAACCTGGTATTGTCCCTTTAACCTGGCATTGTCCCTTTAACCTGGTATTGTCTCTTTAACTTGGCATTGCCCCTTTAACCTGGCGTTGTCCCTTTATCTTTGCATTGCCCTTTTAACCAGGAATTAAGCCTTGAACTTGGCATTGCCCATTTACTGGGCATTGTCCCTTTAACCTGGTATTGTCCCTTTATCTAGCTTTGCCCCGTTAACCTGGCATCATCCTTTTATGTAGCTTTGCCCCGTTAACCTGGCATCATCCCTTTACCTTGGCATTGTTCTTTTAACGGGGCATTTTACCTTTAATTTGGCTTTGCCCTTTAACCTGGCATTGTCCCTTTAACTTGGCATTGCCCCTTTAACCTGGCATTGTCCCTTTAACCTGGTACTACAGCTGCCATTTTCTACACTCTAGTAATAGGAAGGCACAGACATGGCCTTTATAGCTCAACTGTGTTTATTTCTTGTCAGGACTTTCTTTGTCTTTTGGGCAGGATGGAGCTGGCTGGGGCCAGATGATCCAGTGGGAAGAGAGTGGAAGGCGTTATCGGCTCCTGAATTCTGGCCAAGAGTACCAGCCAGCAGGGGAAAGTGCTGGAGGAACTCGAGTTTTGCTGGATGGAAGTCGTGGAAGCGGCGTGGATCTCCGCCGCCAGGCACCCACATTGCCTCGAACTGGATCACAGACAGTTAGGGGCAACACTCGTCATCCATTTGGCTTTGGACAGGTGCCAGATAATTGGCGAGGTGGGAGTGAAACATCGAGTTCGTCAAGTCGATTTGTACCTTCCACAGGGACTGGAGGCGGAGGGGGGAGTAGAATACGACAAACTTACTCCCAGAATTCAGTAGGACCTCCATTTTTATCAAGACCTCAACCTCCTTTTGTAGCGCAACCTGATTTTTACCCCCAAGGCTATGAAGAAACTTATAGCTATTCTAGGAGTGGTGGTGGAGGTGGAGGTGGTGGAGGTGGTTATGTCGCACAACCACCTTGGGGAGGAGGTTATGAAGATTTCTATGAGGAACCAAATCCACCCTATGCCCAACCACCTTATTTTGGGGCCCCCCCTAACTTACCTCCTCAGCAACCAGCTGCTGCCAATCCTGTAGTGCCACAGGATGGACTTGACCGCCGTTTTTCTCACAGCCTCTTTCGAGGTAGTGATATACCAGTAGAAAATGAACCAGTGCGACAAGGTGTAGGAACTGGAGCTGGTGAAGCAGGGCTCCCACCATATGGAGGAGTGAGTCAGGGTGAAGGAGGTTACTATGGAGCACAACGACCAGATGTTTTCCAACCTCAGAGCCGGGTAGCCAGTGCTCCAAACAGTGGAAGTGAATCACAAGGAGGACAACAAGCAAGAGTCAGTGTTGGGAATGTTTTTCGTGGAGGTCAGAGTGGGAGAGGTGAGTTTTAAAAGTTATGGAGACAACTGTACAAATAGCAGCTATGGTGCCACACACACATTACTATAACCACACACATTAGTGTTACATACATTTGGATCCCATGTGGCCGGTCCAAATGTTTCCTCTTGTAGAGGGAAAATTGTTTCTCCCTGAGATTATAAAATGATTAACACAGCCATGTTGTAGGCTGTACTTGAGGTAAAATGTATATAAAACTTACAATGTACTTATTTTATTACATCTGGATTTGCAATCTTGGAACTGGGTTTAGTGTTCCTATTAGTCTGATATTCTAATACAAATGTTTCAGTAGTATGTTACCCTCTGTTTAACTAAAAGATATTTTCTTTTTCAGGACTTCCTGATTTGGTGCCTGATCCAAGTTATGTTCAGGCTGCAACTTATGTCCAGCGTGCTCATTTGTATTCACTACGCTGTGCTGCTGAAGAGCGCTGCCTCTCTAGGTATGTACTTAAAAAATACAGTTTCCTCTAGAACAGCCTTTCTCAACCTTTTTATCCCAGAGAAACCCTTGAAATAATTTTCAGGTCTGAAGAACCACTGCTAAAATGAATTAATCAGGGATCAGTGGGAAGAATGTCCTTTACATTGGTGATCATTGGGAAGAATGCCATTTACATTGGTGGTCAGTGGAAAGAATGCCCCCCTACACTAGTGGTCGGTAGGAAGAATGACCTCTTTACATTGGTGGCCAAGGAAAAAAGCCCCCTTACTGTAGTGGTCAGAATGTCACCCTTCCAGACAGCTACAAAGATCACTGGTGTCATGCCGCTGGTTCTACCTAGTGGCATTGGACTCAAAGCTATGCAGGCACCATTGGAGGTCAGTCAGCCAGATTTCACGGAAACCCTAGCAACCTCTTGAAGTTTCCTAGGTTTCTAGGGAATCATTGTTTAGAATGGCTATTCTAGAACATTAATTTATACCATCAATGGATTCTGCAATCTAACACTTCCACGGCTTCATATACCAACATGGAAGGATCGTCCTTTCTTCTAATCAGTAGGACCCCTCTTTTTGTTGTTATTACTTTATTCACGTGTAGTAGTGCCCCATGAAGCTCCTTCTTATCTAAGGTTAAAGGTGGTGCAACAGCTGAATTTGAATTTGCAACCTCTCAGTCTGGTAGGAGTTAGGGGATGCAAGAACCAGAAGCATCTGAGAAAGTTTTGCTTATACTAGAGGCTTTAAGCCTAATGAGCTAATACCTACAGTATGTGGCTCAGATCTCTGCGAGGCCATTTTTTACTGGACTCATGGGCTGATACCTCCAGGTATTAAAGAATTTAAAAAGGAAATTAAATTTTACTTAAGCAGATCACATTGCTGCAGGTTGCTTCCATGCAAATAATGTTTTAGATAGCATTTTGCAAATCCAGATATTACCATATGAAAAGAGCAGTGACATCATCACTTTGCTGGACATAGCCTGTGGAGAGAACAGAGCTATGGGAGGGACCCAGCAGGCCCACCTAAAAACAGGCAGTCTACAGATAACTACATAAGGGAGTGGATACAAGACCACTCATCCTGCATGAGGAGAATGAGGAGCAATGGCGTGTCTTTGTTACAGGAAGCTCCTGCCCAGGCAAAGTTTTACACTGGACAAGGACACATCAAGGAGAAATACAGAAAGCACACCAAGATTCAAATAACAATATACATGCCTTTTGTATTTAGACAATGTTTGCTTATCCCAGAGTTTAGCTTTAAAGTGTTACTAAACCCAGGACCCTGCATTCACTAAATCTGGTCTTCAAGAGTACACAGAACATGGAAATGCAATTATTTAGTAAATATAAAATGCTAAATACCTTTTTTAATCAGCAGTATATAGCAGTCTTGTGACTTCTATCATCGTCCAGCTCAAAACTGTTTACTCTTGTAGGAGGAGTTTTCATTATTCTCTCACTGTCCTATGAGGCTGCATAACCCCTGACCCTCTGTCTGGACAGCGCTGATTGGCCCTGTGCTGATCACATGCACTCTCCCAAAGAAAAAAAAAAAAACTTTACCCATACACACTAAATTGAGCATGTGTAGAGTGACTACTAGAGCTCTGTACTATCAGCAGATGGATTGGGGACAGTAGAAGAAGGGGAGGATCAGAGAAGACAGGATCAAACAGCCTTTTTACACAATGCAGAGAATTAGCCCCTTAGGTTCCACAGTGAGTATAACAAGCATGCTTTACTGCATATACAGACTGATTTTACTGTTGTGGGTTTAGTGGGACTTTAAGTTTTTCTAATGTTTGTTCCTTGTGCATCATTATTATTTTTTTTTTATTAGACTAAGTAGTGGAGGGAGTAGTTCTGCTGCCGGGGTTTTTATTGCCATGTTTGGGGAGATTTTCTACCACTTCTTCTCTCCATAGCACAAAAAAAATTAAAATAGGGGCACAGATAAAAACAAAAACCTAATATAGGTTTTGACTCTACTAACAAAACAACTCTCCTAACAAAAGTTCATTTATTATGGTCTCTGTCCCTGTTAAAAAGATTCTCCTCCTTTCCTGTTCCGGTGACACGTCAGAAGGGAAAGGAAGAGCTCCCAAAGGTGACAAAGCACTACAAATCTGGCAGACATTCTACCTCCTTCCACTTTAAAACTTTAAAAACATGTTGGCTGGAATTCTGCTGTAACTTTTTATTCGTTCCATCTAAAAAGTAGTGTTTTTTGGAACTGAGATGAGTATTTTTTCGTCATCGAAAACTGATGCAGGAATTAAACTCATAATGCAGATATATGAGAAGCAAATTTGTGTAAACAGAGTCAACCTTTGACCAGGTTAAAAAAAATTTGCTAATTTGATTTCACAATATTGTTTTTTCCAACACGGGTGAAAGGTACATCTCATGAAACTTTGAAACATGTTCCCTTAGGCTGGTATCAGATGTGCTACAAATCGCCAGTGGCAGAGTGCTTTTGACTTACCTCTGTCCCTTGCTGGCCCCAAATGTTACTGAATCTTGATCATTAGTGATAGGAGCAACATCTCACTGCTTCAGCTAGCAAGGGAGCAATTCCATAGGGGCAAACAGGTAGCCTCTTACTGATCCTGCCACTGGAGATTTACCACTAGTGGCAGAATCACATATCTGACATCAGCCTTAAAGCGGTATTAAACCCATAGACAAAGCTGTATATTTTGCAGTTTGCCAATCCTTAAATGTGGTGGCTGCAATCATTTTTTTTGGCTTCTTTACCTTTATTTTCACATGGTGATTCAGCCAGTAGTACATTTCCTGCGCTAGGATGTCTCCACTCTGGATGGAAGAGCCTTTGGACCACAGAATTGTCAGTCTGGGCAGATGGTAGTGTTGGATGCATTAGCAGATTTTATATGGATTAGACCAGGGGTCTCCAAACTGTGGCCAGAGGGCTGGATGTGGCCCTTTGCAACCCTTTATCCGGCCCTTGGGGCACTATTCCTCCCACTGAGTCCAACAATGGGGCAATACTTCTCCCATAAAACCAATGATGGTGTACTATTCTTCCCTCTTATACCAATGGTAGGGCACTACTCCTCCTACTACTGACCAACAACCCTGAGGCCATGTTTATTCTCACTGATGCTGGGGCCAGGATATTTTATATTTTCACTGGCCCTAATCCAGCCCTCCTAAATTCTGAACAACAGTATACTGGCCCTTTGTTTGAAAAGTTTGGAGACCCCTGGATTAGACTAACAAAGATAGCTAACATTTCTTTAAAAACTGTAAACCCTAAAGTTTTTTTTGTACCTTAATGCATACTTTACATGCAGCCCCCCCCCCCCCACCTCCCCTAACTACCTACCAGATCCCACTTTTGATCCAGCGCTGTGCATGAGAGCAGAGGCACTGCTCTCTCTTTCTTCACTGGACTAAGTGAGAGCAGTGGGAGCCATTGGCTCCTGCTGCTGTTAATTAAATCTTGTGACAAGGGAGCAGGGGGCAGGGCTGAGCTCCTCTGTGTGTCAATAGATGCACACAGTGCATCTTGGGATTGAGCCCACAGAGCCAGCGGGGGACCTCAGAAGAGGAGGATCAGGGCTGTGTTCTGTGCAAAACCATTACACAGAGCAGATAAATATAACTTGTTTGTTATTTAAAAAAAAAGAAAGAAATCCTCTACAATCACTTTAAAGCGGAACTACAGTCTCCTTGGCAGTTTTCTCCAAAAGGCACCCCTGTGATTCTCTTTAGTTGCACAATATAAATAGGATACTGTTATATCTTCTTCTTACTTGTAAATATGATATTCATCACAGGATCCTGTCCATGGCCATTACTAGTGTGGCATCTGAAGCCTGCTCCTACTTGCTTCTGGGATTCCGTGCAGCTGGCTACCCAGCATGCACCTCCCGATCTTGCGCCTGTGCAGTAAGGACACAGCTCTGTGCACTGTGTTGTTTACAGGTTCCAGTGAAAAAATTGATCTGCAGTACCGCCGCTGCACTAAAAACGTCCTTTATTGTATTGACCACAAAAAAATTACACAAAAAATACAGTATGCTGACGCGTTTCGGCCACACAGCCTTAGTCATAACTCATAAGAAGACATAAAACATGAAAAATGTATTTATAAGGTGGTGAAGACATAAGTGCGGCCTACTAATTAGCAGGCAGAGTATGTTGTTTACAAGTTGCCATAACAATGGTAGTGCTGGCCTATTGTTATGGCAACCTATCAATCAACACAGAACCCAGAAGGAAGGCGAGTGTGGCCTGAAGTTTCCTGAGATAGATGATGGCTATATGCCAGGAGCCCTAGGGAATCACCTAATGACGAAATCGCCTAGGTGGCCGGGACCAGACATGCAGACTACATATAGAAATATAAGGTATTTAGAAAAAAAAATAATAATTGCCATTACAGACTGTTCTATGGGTGAGCATTGTGTTGCAAGGAACATGAAAAAAAAATGGATGGAAGTCCACTGTAAGCAGTATCTTCTTTTTTTTTTTGTAAGCAACAACTTTTTAAGCAGTTACAATAACAGTTTTTGTTTTCCATTGTAAGCACCCCTGGTAAATGGTTTGTTTCAACCCTCTACCCGTCTCTTTTGCTGGACAGCTTTGTCTGTTAAAGCGGAACTTAAGGCAGAAAATAGCAAATTGCGAACAGGCTGACTTTTTATTGCAGAGAGACACGCAATGTTTGTTCTGCAATAAGATAATCATACCTGCCTGTTTGCAATGCTCTGCAGAATGTACACGCATATGCGCAGCTCTGTTTACATTTCCAACACAGTTTTTGGTGCCAGAGTGAAGGACTCCCATGCATGTGTGGGAGCGAAGTCATACCGCAGTGGCCAATTAAGAAGGCCAAAGACCGGCACCCAAAAGAAGCCAAAGGGAATATGCTGGAGCCAATAAGGGACTTTGTGGGTGTTGGACTGGTGGAGTATAGGTGAGTATTCTTGCCTTTAGTTTAGCTTTAGAGGTAAAATAACAGA